CGTACGTACGTACGTACCGTACGTACCGTACGTACGTACGTACGTACGTACGAGAGGAGAGAGAGAGAGAGAGAGAGAGAGAGAGAGAGAAACTCAATATTACATTTAGCGAACAATTTTTTATATCTAAGAGAATGCTGAGTAAAATTTTATCTCTGAATTTTTTCTCCTTTAATTACAATAATGAGCTAATATGCTAATGAAGAGATTATTTGAACAGACAGAAAGAGAAAAAAGAGAAAGATACAAGGTTGTGTTAAAATATCTGGTAACTCAGGTTATTGGGTCGATAAATTTGATATATATATTTAATAATCCTATATCGCGCTCTTCAATCAATTAAATTGCAGGAAATCACAGAGAAAACGGGAGAGAGAAAATATAAAAGAAATTTTAAGGTCATATTCTTGCAAATTAACTCCTTTCTATAAAGGTTATAGAGATAAGATAAAACGGTATTAACGCCTATATATTAAACCAATTTCAATTTTAACAGAATTAGGATTCGCAGAAAAAGACGCCTTTATTCGAAAGGGATTAAGCTTTAATTAAAAGGGAAGACACTTACTTTCCACGCAAAAGAATAGACAGCCTTTTATCCGCTTGCGTGATCCCTTCCGTCGCATAAGTCTGATCGGAATCCAGCTTGAGTATCCTCGCCTCCTTCGCCAGCTCCTGGAAATGTTTCTTGCTGACCTTGTAGGGCTTGAAGAGCTTCAGGTAAAGCTCGGCTAGCTCGGGACTAAGAGCCGGAGGTAGAAACCGGCAGGCGAGTATCAGCGAGTAAATGCCGTTCACGAGACCGAGGAAGAAGGACCACACCACGATATCCAGAGAACATATAGTGAATCCAGCCCAGATGCCCGCCAACATAAAGCCCGCCGTGAGAAGCGCGCGAAGGACGAAGACGGAAGCCTTGAACGAGCGCGGCACCAGAAACGCAGCCGCGAAAAACAAATTCGCCGCCTGAAATAAATATAATTAATAAGAAATTCAAATTCTAAGACTTGCGAAAACTTACATTACTTTTATCGGAAATTATTCATTCTTTGAAACTTCAAAGATTTGTGGAACCACTGAAAAAGATAGAACACCTTGATGGCCTCATATTACACAAATCAAATTCAGAAGACGCTACATTCAGTTTCATAAATTTTAATGTCCAAGAACTCTTGAATTCGAGAACTTCGAAGTGAGTTCTTCTCACCTGAAAGAGTTTGTGCTGAGCGGTCTCCCATTCGTTGCAGTAGCCATCCGGTATCATCACCGTCGCGTTCAGTCTCTCGGTGACATTGTTCACCTCGGTGCCGTTCCAGACGTCCATCCATAATTCTGTGTAGTTGAAGTCGTCCAGCGAGTAGCCGCCCAGGTTAGGCAGACCGCTGTAATTGAGGGTGTAACTTTCGCTTGAGTAGGTCGCCGACGATGTCGATGAAGTGGTGAACGGCGTCGCTGACGAGGACGAGAGAAGGCTGCCGCCGGCCGTCGCGGATGAATCAGTCGTGTTCGCCATTTTTTGTCGAGGACGCGTGACACGTGCCATCACCTTTGACCTCTGCAATGCCAAATATTAACCGAATATTAACCCCTTCAAAGAATCAATTTTTAAACATTTGTAAATATTTAAACTGCTTTGAAGTGCGATGGAAGGCAATTGAAAAATAAAAAAATCCATCGCTCGATTTTAGGAATAAAAAATTTAATATCGCAGCACTTCTCGAGCTTGTAATAAAATTAAATATTTAAAATCTTCAGCGTTAAAAACGCGCGATCGTTAACGGTCAATTAAGGTGCCACATTTTAGAGATTGCCAGAGAGATTTCTTTCATACGAACAATTTTTCGATATCCGTCGGCGTTTCCGCCCGTGGAGCTGACCTTTCATATACGGAACGCTGTATATATTCTTGTCCTTAATTTATCGAAATTACGGTTAAGTACTGGCTGTCAGATTTACAATGGGAGCCAAAAGCGACCGGCGATTAACGTGGAATATCGATTCGGTGGCTCTTCGTGATTTGGGATGCAATATCTGAGCTTTATTATCTTCGAGGTCGCACCGAAGGGCTGCGTGACTTTACCATTTCGCTTCGCCGCCGCTGGCCTGAAGACTTCGCAGGATATTTTCTGACTGTGAACGGCGAAAATCTCGAAATAGCATGTAGTTAAGGATCGACCACGTCATCGCTCAGGAAAGTCGATCTTATCTGCTTTTCAGCTGAACTGTACACAATGCCCCAAAACTGCGCGGATAACTTGCACACCACGAAACCGAACAAAACCTCTTGGCACGTACCAGCTTCTAGACCCTCTCGCCGAAAAAAACACACATTTCTGTGTAATTTATATTCCAGAGAAACGACATATTGGATTTCATGTAAAACCTATTTTATAAAAGTCCCCATTTCTTGCTCCCACTTTGATCTATTTCACGTGATTTTTTATTACACAAGCTAAAACTTGCAATTTACATTCTAATAGGTTTTTTTTTCAGATTGCAAAGAATAAATGCATGCAATTCTTATGCAGAATTAGAAACTCGCTAGCTAATAATACACGAAACTGTTGATATTCATCTTGTGTGTGTGTATCGAATAATAGTAATTTTTATATTTCACTTTTCTCCACAAGAACCGAATCGATTACAATCAACGAGAAGAGTCAGAAGTCTGGTTCGTACGCAAGCATCAATAAAGAAAGTGAAATCAGGCGGAGGAAAATTACGATTATTTTTCATCGCCAGACACGTTACCGTCGATGCGAGCTGCGCAATCAGCCAGAAATATCATTTAAAATCCTTTCCGCTGACACGGCAGTGCGCCAATAAGCGTGAATCCGCTTTCGAAATGATTCGATATCATTATTCGATTTTCGATATTTCCGTCCGAGGTGGACCGGTGCCACGCTTCCATCTAATGGAACTACGTTGGCCTATCCGGAAATTCGTTAGGACACTCTTTCCGGCCTGATTCAACTACCGTACAATAGGTGTAAGCTGGAATCCAAAATCGAGCGAACGGTGAAAGGTGAATATCTGAATAATCGGGATTTCAGCTCGTTAAACTCTGAGTATTCTTACATCCGATTGCGAAAGAATGATATATATATATCCAGAATCTATCTGCAAAAGAGGACAATATATTCAACTAAACGTCCCGATTTATAATCGAGTGCTACCTATTTTTATAACAATTCTGGCATGTCATAAAAGAATATCGCTTGCAAATATAAGTATCCTTTTCAGGGGACCCATTTTTTTCCATTATTTTTAACCGAAAGTGTTATAAATTGACGACCGTGTTTCTCTCGCCGAGTATAAAGCAGCAAATGCAGAATTCATAATTAAAGTTATGGTTACAGGTCGCGTTGCATTATAAATTTTGAAGCTAATTGTATCTAGAGCGAACCGGATATTGTTTATGTCTGATTTATCTTTAATACGGTCTAGTTTCACTAGAGAGATTTCCTGAACTTATTAACTTGATTTCGCGTTCGTGCGATCCCCGAAGAGTTAACGTCTGCTTGCTGCAAGGACAGCTCGTGCGTTCTGTTATGCAAATCCTAATTCGCGGCTTAGACCACGCCGCGATACAAGTTTGATCCTATCTTAATATCCTTTCGCTTAATCTCGTTGTGACGTGAGCTGTTCCTCGCGAAAGGAAACGTGAAGTAGCTAGGTAATCGGCTTTACGAGCGAGATTTTGAATAGAGATTTCATCATTCCCTGCCATATATATATATATTTCGATTATTTTAATGTATTTTATGTGTGTGTGTGTGCAGACAATCGTGTAATGCATATTTTATTATAAAATTGCTTTTAATTGCGACTAACTGTAAAAGCGTAAATTTATTCTCTTAGGACGCTTCGCAAATGAAATACTTTCTTTAGTTACGTTTTTATGCATTTGCATAAAAAAATATACAAAAATAGATGAACCACTTCCAAACCGATCGTCAATAAAATGATTTGAACTCATTTATTCTTCGCAGAATATTCTAAAATTTCCACGTAACGTTACCTGCGTTACTCCACTTTTGCCCGTATTGATCGATTGATCCATCTGATGACGTTACAGCGATAATCCGCACGAAACGAAGGACTTGGCCGAAGATGCCTCTTGTAGAGGGTCGAAAAGTTTCAAGGTCATCGTGCCGCTGTATCGACTTAGCTCGTATGCTAATTAAACACGAAAGCAAAAGAGGCTTTCGTGACTGGCCGTGCTCACTATCGCCCCAGAAGACGTATTCGCGGGTTCTGCATGGGCTCGGCTGGGTCAGGGTAAATCACGTGACAACGTAACAGGGTGTGGTAATTTACGCGAGGTTCTAAAAACCGCCTTGCAACATGTGCAGTCTGCATTTACGGCACGTTGGATTTTTATCCGTGCGATCAATCCCGCTCTAAATCCCAACCTAAATACCTCGAGTGAAATCGCAAGTTGAATTCTAAAGAGAATTTTTCAAGAGAAAATTTCGCCGAGGATCGATAGCAGATGGAAACGCATAGTAGTGTTAAAGTAACGCGATTGAAATACATATATTTTATACAATATTAGTTTGCTTATCTCGATCACTTTAATATTAATTTTTCTTAATGCATTTTGCTTTAAGTTTAATTTAGTGTTAGACAGTTACTTAACAATTTTTGATACTAGAAAGGGTAACTCGGAAGTTGTTAAAAAATTAATAGTTAAATAAAAAGGGCAATATTATATTTCAGAAGTTGTAAAAATAATATTGAAAATCGCGTTGTGTAATGTATACATTAAATGTTATATATTTTTTCTCTCATCACGCGTGCTTCCATTCAAACCATGTTAATTGAGTGCCATCAATTCAATCCAATTAGCATCGATAATATCGAGAGTGAGAAAAAAACAAAAAACCGATATGCTCTCTTTTATTGCTCATGCCGTGAGCTCGTATGTAAATTGAGTCTCTTGAAAATATGAAAATAATCTTGTCGACGGGTAAGATATGGTCTCGCGTGACACCTTTCCTTGCAATTTTACTTCCGTTCGCCACTTTGTTGCGTCCTCGAAGATGTTGCGGCTTGTGAGAGAGGAAACGTCAGTTTTGCTATTACTTATTGCAGAATATTTTTAGAAAACGGAAGAAAAACTCAAGTAAAAGAAATTTAATAGATATTTAAGTTGCACGTAAAGCTATAATTCATTCACTAACATAAAAAAAACAGAAGATATAAAAAAATCTTAATACAATTAATCGGAAATAATTTTATTGCTGGATATTTAGATATGCTTAATTTGAATAAAAGTTCAAGAATTTGAATAAAAGTTCAGAAATGACAAATTCAGCAATAAAAATGCAGATGAGAAGGATGATTAAAATGCAACAGCGACGGCTACATGTAACCGCTCCGGCATCACTGAAGCGAACACGTTCTGTCGCTCCCGATTCGTTTTACAATGGACAGTGGCCGGTTTGTCGGACAGCTTTTAAATTAGATTAGAATCGGCGGAGAGTCCGAAATTCAGCCCTTCACCTTTCGATCCCCAGAATTTCATCCGAAATAGTGACCGCCAAGCCGCAGGAAATACAGAAACCTTCCACCGGTTTAATCGGTCAATCCAATTTATGCCGACGGAATTACTCGACTTATTTCTCATGCTTTCTATGGAAATAGCTTGCCCTTTCTGATTATCTGACCGGGATTTTCTTATTGTATGCCGGACTTTTACAGTGGAAATATCGCCGCGATTATTTAATCTGTGGATCTGTTTGGATTTATCAGTATTGTTCGAAAGCGTAACTTGGCAGATAAATAGCTTTTAATTTTAAGCTTGAAAAGGTCGCACGAAATAGTATTAAACAAGATTTATTATTCACGGAGCTCACTAATCAAAACTTGTTTATTTACAATTTTCACTCTTTTAACTGTAGAAATTAAATAGTTATTTCTCTAACAAAGTGAATTTATTTAAAACTCATAATTGAATAAAAAAAAAACACGTTTAAGAATGAAAAAGCGATAATTTAGAAGGCAGCGATGTCGGCAAATGTTAGCAAATGTCAAGTCTTGTAAAAATGTCACTTGCGGAATCGTCAAGGTTTGGACTTGCGCCTGGACTTACGCCGAGAACACTTGTTGCCCGAAGCTTATCGTGCGCGAGTCCATCGCACGTAAATAGTTTCGCGACTTCTCGACCTCTGTCTGAAAGTCGTGTGCGATTGCTTCATAAGGTAAATCAGAATCGCGTGTGGCGACGGGGTGTCCTTTTCGTATGTCATTATTAATTTTCAAACATACTTCCTTCCCTCAGGTGCAAAGTCACCGGCATTTGTTCATTTTCGCACAATCATCGTGCGCGATCGAATTGAATAATCTTGATGGACACGCACAACAGCGTATTGTAATAGCATTATTAATGTCAAGAAAATCGTGTGTTCTGCCACACATGTTCTATACTACTGAAATAAGTAGCGAAGGACTTGCATTATTCAGACAAGTGATAAAAGTCGGCTGGCGCAGTCGAGCGTAAAATTCCGCCTGACCCGCGGAACGGAATACTACTTATCATATAAAACGGATCTTCATCCCCAAATCCCCGCGGGGGAGGGGGGGAGAGATGAATTTAAAGGCGAGGAAAAGGGAAAAAAACAAATTTTAGAGAAACGCGATGCCAGAACGATCTTAAATCGCAATCGACTTAATACGTCAACAAACAGAAGAGAATAACAAAAGCGGCAGATTACCGTGTATAAAACGCTTCGATGGGACAGTCCGTTCTTGTAAACAGCCAGCAGCTAAAAGCAGCTGTTTACAGAGCGACGCGTGGGGTTAGCGCGAGCGCCGTGCGAAGGGTGAGGGCTATCGACCCTTTCAACGACGACGGAGGAACCACGCGGTCTGGTACGTACGAGCCTCCTGTCTTAAAGGCCGCTGCACACTGTGACACACGTGGCGCCGAATCGTCGAATCGGCTGTAATCGACTTTTGTCGATACGTGATACGAATCTAAGTTCTACGTCGCGACCAGAAGACTATACCTTTTTTTTTTGTCGGAATAAAAGATAGAAGATAGATAGATAGAAGATAGATTCACACAGCTTACTATATAGTTATATAAGTTTTAGCACGACTGTTGCATCATATCGTGAGGCTCTAAGCCACGTTGCGCACACGTACATTTGCAATCGCCCGCTTTCCACGAAATGTTGAAACACAAAAACCTCACATTATTATATTGATTCAAAATGAAACCGGATTGCGTAAAACAATTTGCACTGCAAACTGCAGCTACAATTATTTGTTAAAAAGACAGTTTTATTCGATAAATTTATGTGTACTGTAATAAATTAAGTTATGCATATTTCCATAATTAAACTTTCAATTTGTACGTTTCAGAATTAAAAACTCTTTCTTTCTCTCTCT